TGTATTCTCGGTTGGCACTCCAATGCTGAGCTGGGGGTGCGTTGCATTCCTGGAGGTGCCGTCCTTCAGATGAGATAGGTCCTATCTGTTCAGACGGATGATAAAGATCCCATGATACTATTCGAAGAGTGTCCTGGCCAACACTCCCCCAAATAAAATTGGTCATTCGCTTCATGGCTGCATGTGGGAAATTGTTGTGTGCAAAATTGACTGCACATTTGCCTACAAATGCTTAACAGTATATGTTGTGAAGGACTTTGAGATGACCTCTCAATATGAAAGGCACTACACTAAATGTAAGCATTAATATTATATTATAGTATAGTCTAGATGCTTTAAGGAGCATTTCAGTTTGCACCGCTGCAGCGTAAAGGTCAAATCCATTTGTTGTCTCTCTGTGTCTTTGAAGGCCATACAGTCAAAATGCTTAAACCTCATGCAAAGTGAACAAGTTATTGAGGCAACACAGTACTGAATCACGGTTTCACTGTAGTCTGATATGGGCTGCTTTTTTGTTGGCCTTTTTTAGACAAGTCATAAGTTTTTATCAACAACTACAAAAAACAAATACATTTTCGCAGGTGGATCTAGGTGAAAAGTCAGTTCTGTTAGGTTAATATTTCACCAAGTTTTATCATATCATTTTTGCATTTGATATAGCGCCTTATCACGGCATTGAGACGTCTCAAAGCGCTTCACAGAATATACTGTGAAGTGTAGTGACTGTGTGTTTCGTGGGTGAAACGTGGCAGCCAATTTTTTTTGGCAGGAGTGGGGATTATTATTTGCCTAAGTTTTCGCCCTGCCGGGAATCGAACCCGGGTCCTCTCGTTTGCGAGGTGAGTGCTCTAACCACTACGCTACGGGAGACACAACTTGTAAATGCGAGTTATAGAGAGAGAAAGACAAACAACAACATACATGCTCTCTCACTCACTCACTCTCTCACTCACTCTTCCTCTGGCTCACTCTGCCAGACTGGGACACATATAAAGAGAAGTGAACGGCTGTAATACTCCATAAGTCAAATGAAATGAATGCTTTAACTGAACAATGCCCAAAATTTCATTTGTAGTTTACATTGGGGTTTCACACCTACTTACAGCAAGGAAATGTTACACCTTATCATTACTAACCACAGTGATGTTCTGTACATGGGATGGATGTAACTTAAGATTGGGTATTTTTCCTGGGTGGGGTTTGGTTTAGGAAAAGAATCTCAGATAATGCTTTAAACCACAACGCGGTCATGTTTATAGGAAACGATTGCGTAACTGCACAGGAAGTGTTAGGCACAATGGGTTGTAATTTGCAGAATAGGATAATAATCCTTGCAATTGCACATGATACCGTGCTACTGACCAAGCCAGGCTGATACCAGGTTGATACCAAGCGGACACCAAGTTGACAGCAGGCTGCTAGGATTTCTTCATAAGGAAAGTTAGCATTGATCTGAAAATTCTAGAAATCGATTGCATTAAATCAGGGTTCCCGCAGATTGCCGTGACACAGTTCTAGTCGTCGGAAGGAGCCCTCTTTTGCATGATGTGGATTTCTTATTAAAGAATCCTGTGAAGGAATACCGCAAATTAGACTCGCCGTCCTCAGCTCAGTGAAGGTTAAGTGTCCACGATGATCTGATTTAGGCTTATGAGGCAGAACAAACACAAAATGATGCATTGCCCTTGCACATTTCATTGAATGCTTTTGCAAGAGTAGAATCAAAACTGCGTGTCAGCCTGGCTCAGTTGCTAGCAATCCTGCTTCTGAGTCAAGGTTGTGGGCTGGCCCTCAAGTGTGGTGCTGGGGGAGCGCTGTAATGTCAGTCGTACCGTCCTCCAAATAGGATGTTAAAATGAGGTCCTGTCTGCCTGTGCTAGTGGGCATTAAAGATACCATGACACTAGTTGAAAAGGGTTTCTCCCGGTGTCCTGGCCAACAATCCTCCAGATAAATCGATCGTTCACTTCCTGGCTGTTTGTGGGACAATTGTGTACAAATTGACTGTAACGTTCACCAACAAAATACAGTCACTAACACTTTACATGAAAATTATGTGACATCCTTGACATCTTTTGAAGCTTGCAGCAACAACAACAACTAAATGACACTTGTAAAGCGCCTTTCACGTCGGGAGGACGTCCCAAGGCGCTGGACAGACAGAGTTACGGACCCGAGTTGGGGGTCGGGGACAGTGGAGAGCAGGGGCGGGAAGCATGGAGATCGAAAGCACTGTTGAAGTGCAGGGTCTTGAGATGGGTCTTGAAGGTGGCAAGGGAGGGGGCGAGGCGGAGGGGCTGTAGGATGGTGTTCCAGAGGGTGGGGGCAGAGTGGCAGAAGGCCCAACCACCAATAATGGGGTGAGCCAGGCGGGGGACATGTAGCAGGTCGGAGCCCGCTAAGCAGAGAGAGCGAGCAGGATGGTAGGGGGTTAGGAGGTCACAGAGGTAGAGGGGAGCAAGACCGTAGAGGGCTTTGAAGGTTGCAATACCCAGTCAACAACAACTTGCGGTTACTTATGATGCAGGGTAGCCTACCAGAGCACTTCACAGTGATGGAGCGTGATGCCGAACCGGGGGGAGGGGCAGGTGACCATAGGCACGGTCGAATAGGAAGATCTTCAAGCATGGCCTGAAGAGGGGGAAGGAAGGAGCAAAGCCAAGGGATAGAGGAAGAGTGTTCTAGCGTTTCGGGGTGTAATTGCTGAAAGTGCGCCTGCCGATGATGGAACGGAGGGCACGAGGAACATGCAGAAGGCCGTAGCCTGTCGAGTGGAGGCAACGGGTTGTGGGATGAGGGATAAGCAGGTCGGAGAGGTAGGGAGAGTCCAAGACACGAAGGGATTTGAAAACCTGTGTGAGGATCTTGAAATTGAACCGTTTGGGGTTAGGGAGCCAGTGGAGGCTGGCTAGAACTGAAATGATGAGAATTTGGAGTTAAGTGCGGGTGAGTTTGCGAGTTTGGGATCATCTGGATCCTGTGCAGGGTGGGGCTGGGGAGACTGGCGAAGAGAGCATTTGAAAAGTCGAATCAGGAAGTGACGAACACATGGATGAATGTTTTGGTTGAGTCTGGGGTAAGGTACGGTCGGAGGCGGGCAATGTGGCGGAGGTGGAGGAGGCAGTCTTGATCAGGGACTGGATGTGGGGAAGGAAGGACAGCCATGGGTCGAACCTGATGCCTAGGTTGCGCACTGGTTCAGTAAGTCTGAGGAATAGGCCGGGGAGGTTGAGAAGATCAGAGCCACAGGATAGAAGACGTTGACGGGAGCCAATGAGTATGGCTTCCCTCTTGTCAACATTTAGTTGTAGGGTTAGGGTTAGGTTTACAGTAGGTGAAGTGCTATGTGGTGCTTTGAGGGATTCTGACTTGATAAGGTGCTATATCAAACCCAAGTATTCTTATTATTAATCAGCCATTTATTCAGGCTTCTGAGGTAGAGTGTATTTTGTTGTTGGAGTCAGTTGTAATTAAAAAACAGGGAAATTACACAATGATTTTGTCCGGAAACCTCTAAACAAAGGGTGAGGTTTTATATAAAATAAAACTGCTCCACATTTTTCTTGCCTTTGTGGCAGCAAAAACATGTCAAGTATTTCTTTCTACAAAAAGGGAGGAAACCTGAGGCGTTTGGCCACAAAACACACTGTCTCTGGACTTTACAGTGTATCCTGTGAAGTGCTTTGGGACGCCCTCCACGTGAAAGGCGCTATATCAGATGCAAGGATTATTATGATTATTATCCTGTGAAGCACTTTGAGACGTCCTCCTAACAGGAAAAGCTCTATATCAAACGTAAGGGAAAAAATCTGTAGTGATGGTGCGATCGGGGCAGGGGGCTTCCGCGGAGGTGATTGTATGATTGTATCTTTTTCTGTGAGTTTGAAAGGAGATTGACCTTGGCGGGCGGGCCTTTCATCTTGTGAAAGTGGAACGAGGGATTAGCCAGCTACACTCGGGAGGATAAAATTAAATCCGATCCGTAACCGATCTAAGAAACAAAGTTTGTTGGCCAGGCACAAACAGTACAAGCTGTAAAAGAGCTGGGAGAGCTTGGGTTTCATCTGTAGCAATACATCATAACCCGAGGGATGGCGCCGTATTCAGTAGCGAATGCTGATGTTCCCGAGCAATTTAACCCGTTGAGGGCGCTCGCAGTTCTATATGGAACCAAGGCTTCGCTTTAAATCAGCCGTGCCAAGCACGATCCTTCTCAGAACGGGATGCTTCAAGTAGAGGACGTTGTACTTTACGAGCACAGCACTTCAAAACCGCCAAGTGCTTTTAATTGCAGGGTGCAACTTAAGACTCAGAAGTTTGTGGGTTCAAACCCCACGTCAACAACAACAACAACTTCCATTTATATAGCACCCCTCACGCAGGGTAGCTTCGCAGAGTGCTTAACGTCAGCACGTTGAACTCACAAAGCTGAGGCTGGTGCTCCAGTGCACTGCCTTTTCACGGAGGAGCCATCCCTCCTTACTGTTCAGATGGACATTAAAAGATCGCAGGGCACTACTCGAAAAGCAAAGCACTGTGAAGTGCTTTGAAACGTCCCACTGACATGATCACGTGCTGTATCAAATGCAGGGATTGTTATTATACCTTTACACCTCCTGTTAACGACTGCTGGAAATGGCAGGGCAGATTGTATACTTCCCTGTTATTTCCAGCAGTTGTTAAAAGCAACACTAGGGTGGAGAAAGCACTGGTTCTCACTTTGCTTAACGTCAAGCCTTAGGATAAGAGTGAAAATATACACATTAATTCAATTTACAGTATATTCTGTGCAGCTCTTTGAATCGTCTTGAAGACGTGATGAAGCACTATATCAAAGGCAAGGAATATTATTATTATAATGTATAAGGGCCATTGAAGTCAGAATTTACTGATCATCACTGATAAAGGCTTCCCCTTTTTTTCCCGGTGAAAGTCAATCGGTAAATAACAGACAATGTTGACCTGAATCAAAACCTGAATTCACCATTTTATTTTTTTAGCGGAGCATTATTCTGCGAATACGAACGCAATCAATGAGTGAGTGCAGGTAAGCAGGTTCCCGAAGTTTGTGCGCAATGCCTTTTGGTTAAGCGTTTTTTCATTACTGGAAATAAATTCTGATTTTCGCCAAATTTAACCTTTTTTTGTGTTAAATTTAGCCCCCCTCCATGATTTTCTCCCATTTTTTGACAGAATAAATAGCACCCTCCTCCCTTCACAAAAACACCCAGGTTTTTATCTTGCAAATAAAAAGCAGCTTTAATAGTCCTTAAATATGTACATGATGCTATGAAAAACCAAGTGGTCACTTAATAATTGTGTGCCAAATTGAACGTTGCTATGTAAATGTAAATTTGTGTTGTACCGCACTGAGTTACATGAACTTTATATGAATTATATTAGGAATTGGCATGATGCCGAACCGCCTATAACTATGCAATGCATTTCTGACCATATAAAACACCACTGAACATGCTTCAATTTCCTCACCATAAATAACCAACAAATCATACCTCAGCTCCTGTAATAATTACACTCTGCATCACTTGAGCACATTCAGAGTCTTAACACTTTCTTAATAATGTGAACCAGAGCTGAGAGAATACCAGAGCAAGTTGGGGGTGACGAAGCATTTATATTCTTTCCGGGTTTCTCACACGCCCACAATTTTTCCTTTTCAATTGCAAATGTTGTTCGTGAAACTAGGCTTTGCCCTGAAGTGAACTTGCAACGGCCAGCGATGTTACTGCTGCCTTTAATCTGCACTTTTGGCATCAGCGAGCACCAAACTTTATAGTGTAAAAGTGCCAAACGTGCCGCAGAAAGCTCCCTGCTAACAGAGGAAGCAAGATTATCTCCCCTGAGAGCAATTCTTGTTTCCTACTTTAATAAAGTAAATTAATAATCCTTGCAATTGATATAGCGCCTTTCACGTCAGGAGAATCATAGAATTATACAGCACAGAAGGAGGCCATTCGGCCCATTGTGTCTGTGCCGGCTCTTTGAAAAGAGCTATCCAAATCAATCCCACTCCTCTCCTGCTCTCTCCCCATAGCCCTGCAAACTTGTCCTCCCCAAATAATTATCTACTTCTCTCTTAAAAGTTGTTATCGAATCGGCTTCCACCACCCTTTCAGGCAATGCATTTCAGATCCGAACAACTCGCTGTGTGAAAACATTTGTCCTCACCTCCCCTCTGTTTCTTTTAACAACTATTTTAAATTGGTGTCCTCGGGTTACCAACCCACCCACCAGTAGAAATAGTTTCTCCTTATTCATCCTATTAAATCCCCTCATAATTTTGAAAACTTCTATTAAATCGCCTCTTAACCTTCTCTGCCACGAGGAGAATAATCCTCGCTTCTCTAGCCACTCCTGATAACTGAAGTCCCTCAATCCTGGTACTATCCTGATAAATCTCCTTTGCACCTTCTCCAATACCTTGATATCCTGCCTGAAGCGTGGTGCCCAGAACTGAACAAACTATTCTAGCTGAGGCCTAACCAATGTTTTATAAAGGTTCATCATAACTTCCTGACTTTTGTATTTTATGCCCCTATTTATAAAGCCTATTTATAAACCGTATGCTTTTTTAACAGTTTATCTACCTGTCCTGCCACCTTCAAAGATTTGCTTGTATGAATCCCAGGTCTCTCTGTTCCTTCACCCCCTTTAAGAATGTAACATGGAGCTTATATTTCCTCTCCTCATTCTTCCTCCCAAAATGCATGACTTCTCATTTCTCCACAATAAACTTCATCTGCCACGTGTCTGCCCATTTTACCAGTCTGTCTATGTCTGTTTGCAGTCTGCTACTATCCTCCTCACTGTTTACTACTTTTCCTAGTTTAGTATCATCTGGGAAATTTGGAAATTGTACTCCCTATACCCGAGTCTCGGTCATTCATATAGATCAAAAACAAGAATATCTCAATGTGCTTCACGGGATATACTGTAAACTATAGAGACTGTAATTTGCAGATGAACACGGTAGAAAACATGTGCACAGCAATGTCCTGTAAACAGTCATGAAGTGAATGACCATTTTTTACCAATAACCTGGCCAGGCTGATGCATACACATATATATATATTCTTTGAAACATATCCCACTTTTCCATTGCTGAACCGTCCAATACCAGTGTCGCTCATTATATCAGTGAGGTCTTAGATAAGAAGTAAATATATAGATATATATCTACATACTGCGGGCCTTGCAGTTTTTAAATAGACAATGAGACTTCTGGAGGATATCTGACAGATAAGTATTGTCGTACAATAATTATATCTGCAAGCAAGTTATTGTCAGACTGATTAGGCGAGAAATTTATATAATTACACCACTGACACCACATTCTATTCATAACTCTTCTATATCTTATTGAACAGAAATTAATTTTAACCTTTAAAATACTAGAAGCTCCTCTCCAGGGAACTCTGTGCATCCATTGGCTCAACTTATTCCCCACTTCCATGCATTCAAGCAGATGAAACATTAAAACAGGGGTCCCTTCAGCCAGATGAGGTGGACGTTAAAGATCCCATGGCATTATTTGAAAAGGGAAGGGAGTTTCTCCCGGTGTCCTGGCCAACAATCCCCCAGATAAAATTGGTCACTGTCATGGCAGTTTGTGATGTGTAAGTTGGCTGCTGTGTTCGTCTGCAATATCTACACAGTACCTACACTTTACAGTGTATCCTGTAAATGCTTTGAGATGTCCTACCAACATGAAATATCAAGTGCAAGGATTATGACTTATTTCCTTTCAATCACAATTTTCAGGAAGTGATTTGCTAATGCAGTAGCTGAGCTTGCAATGTTAGTTCAGGTCAGAGTGAACTGAGCCAGGAAGTCATGAGGATAAGCCCCAGAGCTGCGTTTTACTTTTATTCACTTCATATGTTGTCAGCTGTCTGCTGGGTCATGGTTTGGACCATCATGTGAATTGTTCCTTCTTAGCTCAGGGTTCAGAATCTGCCGTTCTCTCTTTTAAAACCACTTGAAAAATGCATTTTGACATAGTGCCATTGTCAAAAGTGTTTCAAATGCTTCACAGCGTGCACTGTAAAGTGTAGTGACTGTATACTTTGTACTTGAACACGGCAGCCAAATTGCGAGCAGCAATGTTGCACAAATAGCCATGAACTGATTGGCCCATTTTATCTGGATGATTGTTGGCCAGGACACCAGGAGAAACTCCCTTCTCTTTTCAAATACTGGAGTAGCACAGCCTTGTTGTCACTGTAGGTTTCCTATCACTAGAGAGAATGTCAGTATGTAGTGCAAGCTTTCTATCACTGGGGAAGATGTCACTGTACAGTGCAGGGCTCTTGGTTCTTGTTACTAAAGGGGACATCAGTGTTCAATGTAGGTTTCTTATCACTAATACTAGAGAACAACAACAACAACAACAAATTTACATTTATAGAGCGCCTTTCATGTCGGGAGGACGTCCCAAGGCACTGGAGAGTCAGGGGTCAGAGCATGGGGGAGAGGTGGTGTAGGGATGAGGGAAGGCAGAGAGGTGGGAGGGCGACCGAAGGCACAATTGAAGAGGAGGGTCTTGAGACCGGCCTTGAAGGAGGCAAGAGAGGAAGTGAGGCGAAGGGACTGTGGGATGGAGTTCCAGAGTGTGGGGGCAGAGAGGCAGAAAGCTCGGCCGCCTATGGTAGGGCAGCTCGGGCGGGAGACAAGGAGCAGGAGAAGGTGTTGGTCTGTAGTGGAAGTTTTCTATCATTAGAAAATATGGAGTTTACTAAGTTCTGTAGGTTAGAACACTCGCCTTGCAAGCAAGAGTACACATGTTTGATTCCCGGGCGGGGTGAAACCTTCGACAAATTTCCTCACTGTGTACTATAAACACGCCTCTGTTTACCTAACAGTAAGTAGGAACCCAGTTGTTAGTCAATCGGCAGGTTGCTTTCGGGGATAATAATCCCTTCAAAAATAATAATAATAATTTGGTCACTCAATCCACGACTTTGTGGGACACGTTTGTGCGCAATTGACTGGCATGTTTCACCCACAAAACATACAGTTAATTCGCTTCATAATATATTTTGAAGCGCTTTGAGACGTCTCAATGACTCGATAAGGTGTTCTATCAAATGCAAAGATTATATATTTATTATTATTTTTATTATTATAAGATGTTCTGTAGTGCAGGCTATCTATCACTAGAGAAGCCATCCCTCTGTAGTACAGGTTTCCTGTCACGAGAGTAAACGTCAATGTACAGTGCAGGTTTCCTGACACTGTATCACTAGAATGAAAAGAGCATTCAGTTGCCAGATATGCTCTTTAGTTTATGTCCTTGTTATGGATCTGCACAGTCTGTTCCCATTTTGACCTCTCATGTCCAGGCACCAAGCCCATATTCCTTTACTCCTCATTAAAATCTAATACTGAAATCCTAGGTGTAATTTACAAGATGCCCAGGGACCTAAAAGTCCTAACACACTCGTCTGGTGAACAAGTACAGCATATAAATTAAATTAAAGTTTCCACCTTACTGGATTTTTTTTACAGTGGTGTAAGCAGTGATATTGATATTGAACAGCAACAGCACCTAATTATATAAAACATTTATAAAATACTTGAGATTTTGTATTTTTTTTTCACATGGAGGTATTCTCATGCAACGAGTGTTGAGTGTCTTGTCGGTAACTAGTTTTTCGGTTTTCATCGCATTGTTACTTTAGCCCTTTACACTTCAGAAGAATATTGGGAGGACGTAGCAATGCCCTTTTCAGGGTATACTGCAAAATGGAGTGATTGTGTGAGTCTTGGGCAAACTCGACCGCCAATTTTCATACAGCAATGTCCCCCCCAACAGCCATAAAGTGAATGACCCATTTGTTTTTGAGGGAGGGGGAAATTGTTGGCCAAGACACCAGCCATTACTCTCTTCTCTTTTCAAATAGTGCCATGGGTTCTTTAGTGTACACCTAAACAGGCAGGCATAACCTTAGCTTGACGTCTCATCCAAACGATGACACGTCCAACAACGGAGCACGCCTCCATCACTGTATCGGAGTGTCAGTTTAG